CAAACCTTAGAAATTAGCATAGTAATTGAACCCATTTAAATTAATACTACTATTATTAATTGAATCACACATGGATGAGCAATGGCATGAATCACAGAAACCAATGCCTAGCCATTTCATATCCACCCCACTAATAGAAATGATACAAACCTAATATTTTCAGTTGGCCCAGAGATACTCCTAGCTAATGGGGTACCCTGATATGCAGATGCATGTAGATAGTCAAGCACAACTTGCTGCATGTCTGTGTCACTCTCCTGTAATACAAGTACGATAAAGGTTAATACAAGTGAACTACACGTGTAAGTCAGATACAGTAGGTTTTATTTTTGACTGCAGCTGTCCATTCCGGTTTTTATAGATCAGGAGAAGTGATGTGCCAGTTAAGGATACACTCAAGCTTTTATGCAAAATTTTATTGATTTTTAATTTTAATTTTTATTGGATGGCTAACACTAAGTGCCACCTCTATAATGCTTACTTCTCCATATAACAATGCATGTGAACTTTAAGAAACATAAAAACTGTGAAACTTAAGCTTGAGTGTATCCTAAAAATGTTGCATATGCGCCTGTTACAACTATTGATAATAGAAATTATTATAAGTATCACAACTAACATTTAAATGACATAAAAATGAAATATTATGTAATTAGTAATATATCTGCCAATAAGCAAGACTTAATACTATGCGCCTTTACTTTTGATGTATTTGGGACATCACCATTTTAAATATGGTAGTAAACAAAAATTCTGGTTACGACACTGCAGTATGAGCCATGTGTGCTGTTATGACACTGCAGTACAGTGACTGTGTGCAGTTACGACACTGCAGTACAGTGTGCTGTGTGCAGTTACGACACTGCAGTACAGTGTGCTGTGTGCAGTTACGACACTGCAGTATGAGCAGTATGAGCGATTATAGAGAGTAAGCGGTATATACCTAATTAGTTTAGGAAACAATCAATTCTATATATAGTTTGCTTCTAATAGTACAATGACAAAATATTATTATATTTTTCATTTTGATCAAGATGACAGATGAAGTATCTCAAGAAATACTACATACATACATTAACTTCTCTCATGATGGTTGCTCTTTCTGCTTCAATGTCAGCACTGTCCAGACTTGGGTTCTGAAGAATGTCTGCTATCACGTCCAGCACTTTAAACAACAACAATCGCCAACGTAAGTTATTGAACAAACTCGACTATTGAACGACAGCTTTAGCATTATCATTACAAATTATTTACAGTGAAATGATCTTCAAATTATGTTACTTAAATTAATTTCTATTTTAATATTTACTTGAAATAATATTAGGAAATATTTTAACTGTTATTTTTCACATCACTGGTAGCACTTCTACTTGTGCTGTAAATATCTGCAAGTCTTAATAAATGAGTTGATGAGAGCTTATAAGCAAAGAACCTATTAACTATATGGTTTGCAGTCAAACCTTAAAAAAGCCTAAACAATTTAAAAATACAACTATTCGCCAAAGAAAGAGTACACAATGTATTTTACCTTTTTCTATATCTTTGGAGGAAGCTTTTCCATAGAAAGCACTGTGCTCACGGCCAATGTACGAGTTGAGATGAGCACCCATGCCTTCTATCTCCTTCACTAGGAGGGACTGTGACCGTGTCTTACTTCCCTGCAACACACATCACACAATAAAAACTGTTATTTCTTACAGAGAAATTCAAGTGTTTCTTTGCAATGCTAGGTACACAATCTAAGTACATTTCAGCCATCTTTAAGTACTTATGCAACATGGAATTGATAAAATTAATTTTGATATAATTGTATTCTCACAATACTCACAAAATTCCCTGCGTAAACACAAGTGCATGCCAAAAATGACAATTGGAGATTTTAAAAAGATGGAAATATATCTACACCAAAATATAAACCAGACATAGAGTGGAACAGAAACAAAGATGGAAACTAACTGTGATTAAAAATTAAGTTACTCTCACGTCACTGAAAAAAATAAAATAACATCATTTCATTTGGCTACACGAGGTTTTTATCAGTTAATGGATTTTACTAACAACAGAATATACTACAACAATGCAAACACAAATAAGTCATGTACTAAGTCACCATACCCTGTAGACTAGATGTTCAAACATGTTAGCAACTCCGTTTGTACTGTTCGTTTCATACCGGCTACCAGATTCAACCCAAAACCCAACCTGGAATTGAACAGAGATCTGTAGTTATAGTAATCTGGCTAACAGCAAGTTTAGCAAAGTCAATCACACTACGCAACTCAACATGTTTAGGAATCAACTTGCACATTATGTGTAGAAAATTGACTGAAATTCCTATCAAGTAAAATTTTACAAGCTGAACTTACGAGTCTTCGCTTAATACCATTAGCCTAGTTTAGAATATATATAGGCTACTAAGATCTTGCTAAAATTCTGTAATCTGTTACCACATGAGGTTCAGTTTAAAAAAGTACTACTGCTAGTGCTAGTCTGCTGAAATCACCACACAGCGAGACACTCACAGTACACGACTGAGAGTCACAGTCTTCCGTTGCCACTCGTAGTCCATTCGGAAGAGTGGTGATGCGAGTCTCTGGCGCATTCAGTACACACTGATCGTAGGTCGCGGTGGCAGTCGGACGCCATCTTTTGGTTATCTATTCAAAATATAAACATTTGATATGATACCAGCAGAGTTCTCCTCGGGAATGTAAGACAGCAACATCTGGCAATTAGGCATTTCATCTCTGATTGCTAATTGGAGTCAATTACACATGTCGTGAGCGGCCCCAACACACAGCTAAACTCGACTAATTTGGAGACTTATATATGTTAACCTGTGAAAACAGCATGAAATTGCAGGGTTTCTTCTGAGGGAAAATTAGACAACGGCGGTAATGGCCAGTTTGGGGAAAAAACGCACATGGATTCAAAGACGTGCAGTAGGCACGAATGTGGATTCTGCAGGCAGACGCGGGGGGAGAGAGGTAGAGGGAGGTTCTGGGGGTCTCCCCCAGCAAAATTTAAACAAGTGCCGCAGAGCGACAGCGCTCAACTGACGTGTACTGTAGCCAGGTATTCTTCTGATAAACTCACTGGCAACCGAATCAAGTGTGCCCTCCTGCGTTCGCGCTCAGAGCATATATATCTATGATACTACTAATACAGATCTAAAATCTATGATAGGCTTTGCTCTACCTACTGGTAGTATACCAAGATGAAAGCTGTTGGATGTGTATTCGTGCTGTAAAGGTGTGAAATGAAGCGAGCCTCGAGCAAATTTTGCGATCACGCTTTCCTACCTGCTCTCTTATTCATGTTCAATTTGTTGTTTGTGCACAGGGCGGGCGTGCGGTTAGCTCTAGTACTATAGCCCGCGTACATTGACTGCCGCAGGGCTATAGAACATTTTCAGCTAGATTTCGCTGCTGCAACAGTTCCCAAAGTTCCCACGAAAAATCGCTTTACAAAACGCAAAATGATCGGGCTTTTTAACACTTATCTATTCCACGTGGACATCTCACCTCATCTTTTTGGAACCACTTTCCACAACTTACACCATGTATTAGCCTTTAATAGTTTTATTCCTCCAAGTCAGCATACTGGCTGTCAGCTTTGAAATATTCGTGGCGTGCGAACCGCCGTGATCGTCACCCGGTACTTGTTATACAGCGAGTGCCATACGCTGCGCCATGTGTTTTGCCACTACTCATCCGTGACAAGTACGCGTTCGCAGCCCAACAATCATTTAACTGTTACAGCCAGAAGTGCTTGACTTGTAACGAATAAAGCCTTATTAAAGGCATAGAATACATAGTGTAAATTGTGGAAAGTGTTCAAAAGATAGGTGAGATGTCCACGTAGATAGAAAGTGTCTAAAAAGCCGCTCTTGGCGCTTTTTGTAAAGCGATTTGTACTCGTGGGAACTTGAGAACTGTAGCGACGTCAGCAAAATCTCGCTGAAAATGTTCTATACCCTGCGCAGTCAATTACGCGACGCTATAGTACTAGAGCTAAAGCGTGTGGTGTTACTTGCTGTGTTGCGCAGATGACCATTAGGGGGGGAGGGGGGGGGGGGGGGGGGGTGACGCGGCATTTAGCAGGTGATTAAGGCGAGAATAGAAGTAGAGAAAGCATTAAGACTTTGGTAGTAAATAACATTTCGTGTTATTTACCTTTTTTTATTTTTATTCAGACGTTCCAAGTGCCTGTGATGCAGCTACTGAGCTAGGCACTGTCTAGCCCGACCAGGCTGTGCGACGGATTGTCTATACAGCCTGACACCCTTCCATACAAAAAACCTATCACCTCTGCAGATCTAGATGAATAACTCTGTATATCTCAAATAAAACTATTCTATTACCACCTTTGACTTGCCTTGATTGAAATATGAACGTTAACTCACAGTTGTCCTTCCTCCAAAATAGAATGTATCTCTTAATTCATGGTATAATCTGCTAATTCTCACAGCATATCAACTTTCCAATCAGCTTTACCCGCCATGTTTAGCGAGGCACGGAAAACCCGAAACGGAAAAGACACGCTAGCAAATACTACAGAAATAGTACAATAGCTGCACGATGGCTCTCACGGCAATTACCCACCAAAGCAAGTGAAACGATGTTCACAAATGTCTTGGCCATTTGTAAAAACCTTAGATGACATGTTCTCGGATGTAGTGGTGGTTTACATGAGGAACGCAGATCGTTTAATTTCCTTTGTTCGATCCATTGCGGATTTTAGTCACAGTCTGAATGATAGCAAAAATGGTGGAAAATTCATAAATTTGGTTGCATTCGTCTCAAAAAGTTGCTGTAACCCCGTAAGTACCCAGCACATCGTAGCGCACTGATGGTTACAAGAAGGTGGATGTATACTGATTCATTTGGTATATCACATGTGAAGTGTTCTTTGGCGATACTTGGCAAATAAGACAACTACGTGTTTAGCTGCAGCCAATGTTTGAAACGGTATTCTAACCCTAGCAATACCGTTTCTTGGAGCTAGGCACTGTCCTGCACTCATTTTCACAGAGGGCAACTTCAAAACTCAATGTCACCAACCCTAAGTCATATCCTGTTAAGATAGGCCCGTATAGAGTTAATATTATGTTTCTACATATTCAACCATGACATTTTAATAAGTGACCGGTTTATACTATTACCCGTGCGTGCTTTGCAAGCGTATTTGATGCTACAGGTTTCAACGACCTCAGTATGTAAGACGCCATGTTGACTACAACTAGGGAAAGACGTTCATCTGTTTTACGAATCGTCATAACCAGCCACACTTTTTACTCTTTAAATTCATAAATTTCACACATATATGGGTTTTCGGTCCATCAGTTATTAATGTGAGCTTTTGGCGTAGCTGATTTAAATGCGTGCATTTGGCAATATAATAATGTAACTCATCCAGTGCATCTATATACCAACGATCCGGCACTATACGATCTTTGATCTATACAGGCGACCGTACAGTGGCGCCACTGTATCGCTAACATCATTTTAAGAAAGGCAGCGGTTAGTTTAAAGGGACAGTAGCCTCTAGTATTTTACTTGCCATACCAAACTATACTTACTGTATAACAATCGTCTATACCCACACGTATTTGTTACAGATACCCTAATATATTGTTATAATTATTTTACACTCAACGCTACGAAATTTGAAACGCGCGCCATGGACACCCGCGACGTGCTCGCCACCCGAAACAAGTTGCGTATATTTACCAATTTTTGCACGTTACAGACGAGGGCTAATCACCAAAAGTGCATTATTATTTATACCTAAATGCTATTTAAACGAACGATATTCATTTTTAGGGCATTTATCCATCTTATACTAATCTATATGTACGTTTATAGATATTACAATCCTTTTGCTTCTTGAATGAATAAATAAGATACTACCCTCGGGTCTGTAGCCCGTGCTGCCGAAAGTGGTTTTGCCCGCAACTTATCAGTAGTTCGTGCGCTTTGAGCGGCGCGCCACCGTCGCGATGTAATTAAACTATAGTCGTAAGTTTGAAAACATCTTAAAAAAAAATATTTCCAATTGGTGATTGAACATGAAACGTTTTATGTAGCGTAATTATAACTCTAAATTAGCTGAAAATAACCCTAGAACCTAGAGTAAACTCTCCCTTTAATTTGGACCTTTGATTTGGACCTAGATTTTCCGTTTTGGATTTGAGCATGGTATGGCCCCCGACTCCTGGGCCGGCCGTCGCGAACCAAATTTATATATTCTAGGAAAACGAGGGCTTGATCGGGTGGGGGGAGGCCCGATCTGCCGGTGAAAATTACTTGTCAGCATGCAGGCGAGCGCAAACATATCCGTTTTTTTAAATAAGGCAACTTTTGCAAATAGCCACTTTTCGTGGGAAGGCCCCCCCTGAATCCGCCCCTGGTCCCGAGAACCCAGTGAAATCGCCTCACAGTCACAACAAATATATTTCACAGTCCAATGGATTGTCCAGCAGAGGCGGACATTCCAAATTTCCTAAAATAACATAGAAATGGAAGAGGAGGATGGGTGGTCAGGTAGATGGGAATTTGCAAACCGAACGCGCATTACTCATCGCGCGGCATGGCTGCGCGTGTGTGTGTGAGGTACATGCATGTCTGACACCAAATACCATACATGCAGTGCGGCCGCGTGTACAGGCATTTGTGTTACCGGGGGGGGTCTTAACCGTACCAAACTGCGAGCACGCAAGGCGGGCGGATCTGGGGGCCCTCCCCCAGAAATTTTGTAAATTGACCCACTGTAATGCTTTAGACCCCGCCCCGCCCCCCCCTGACCCTATGCGACCCCCCCTAGTACACGCCCCTTGACAGTAGTTGTGTAGTGTAATTTCGTATGTATACGGGTGTTCATGACACACGAGCAAAATATGTTGGCTTTTGAAAACGAACGAAAATTAATAAAAGAAGTTGAGACAAAAAGTAGCCTATGGCGGGCGTACTCAACTAAAGGCCGAAGTACTTAAAACCTTACCCTTACCTTAAAGGGAGTTTGACTTCTATGGCGTTCTAGGGTTATTTTCAGCTAATTTAGGTTATAATTACGCTACCATAATAAAGTTCATGCGTTTCAATCACCTATTAGAATATTATTAACAAATGTTTTAAAACTATACGACTAGCATGTTTGATTACAACGACGGTGGCGTCCACGTCAAAGCGGCACGATTGATAAGTGCGCACAAACCACTTCTCCAGGCAAGGTCTACGGACGAGGGTGTTTCTTACGTTATCATTCAATAAGCAAAATAGGGATTGTAATATCTTATAACGACAATATAGTTTACAGTTAGATTATAATGATAAATTTGCCCTAAACTAACTATCGTTCGGTTAAATAGCATTTAAGGCTATAAATTATAATTGCCACTTTTGGATTAGCCCTCGGTCTAGTACGATTGCAAAATAATGTCAAATAAGCAAACTTTTTTTGAGTGGCCCAGCACGTCGCGGGTGGCATGAGCGCCGTTCAATTTTCGTAGCCTTGATGCTTGTAAATATTATAAAATTAATTAGAATCCTGGCTAACAATAACGTGTGGGTATGAGACGATTATCTTATACAGTAAGTATAGTTGTTGCAGTACTAAAATCCTTAGCGGCTACTGTCCCTTTAATAAATTAAAATTTTAAATGTTTTTTTATGTAAAAATATTATTGCAGCGCAGTATAGAATAATGTAAAAAATGGTCTAGCCATTCAAACATTCATCATTGTCTGTCTAAATAATTTTAATTTAAACTAATAATTGTAAATAATATTGTGGAGATTTCCTGAAGGGGGTGACGTCATACAACCATACGACTTCAATAACTACAGGCGGCTATCAGTGGCGGATCCAGAAGTAATTCTAGGGTGGGGGTGCATCTGCTTAGGGAGGGGGGGTGAGGCAATTATTGCGAGTCCAATGGCCACGAAGCGCCGAGGGATAGGTGTATAGTCCCTAAAAAAATTACCCTGTTTGAAAAATTTCAAGGGGCGCGCGACCGCCCCGCTGTCGGCCCTGGTATCCGCCACTCCGCAACAGAGACCAAGTGCGCGGCAAGGGGAACTATAACATCTCACAGATTGTGGATTTGAAGTGGGAAACCGGTGGTTGCACCACCCGTGCACGTACCGGACAAGGGGGTTGCATCACCCGCGCACGTGCCGCGGACCATAGGGGGGGGGGTTGCCATCACCCGCCCACGTGCCGAGACGAAGGGGGGTTGCATCGCTCCGCGCACGTGCCAACAAGGGGGTTGCATCACCGCGACGTGCCGGCCAAGGGAGGGGGCATACACCGCGCACTGTGCGCGCCACAAAGAGGGTTGCATCATCCGAGCACGTGTCGACACAGGGGGTTGCATCACCGCGCACGTGCCGCGACTAGGGGCGTTGACATCACCGCGCGCACGTGCGGCCAAGAGGGGTGCATCACCCGCGCACGTGGCCGGAACAAAGTGGGTTGCATCACCCCGGAGCACGGTGTCACTCGAACAAGGGGGTATAGGCATCACCGCGCACGTGCCGACAAGGGGGTTTGAATCACCCCAGCACGTGCGCCAAAGGAGGGGTCAATCACCGGCGCACGTGACCGGACAAGAGGGTTGCCATAACACGAGCACGTGTCGAAACAAGGGGGGTTCCATCAACCCGCGCGCACGTGCCGGACAAGGGGTTGCATCACCGGTACGCGGCTAACGACTCCATTAGGAGTGTTCCCAACTTGATATCATGAATGATTGAATGAACGAATGATTAATGATTAAGCATTGAAATGCTACCCTAACCCTAACCTAAATGACATTTAAACCACAAACTAATATTATTGACATGACCATTATATTATTATATCCAGCGAGTAGATACATAGCGAGGAGTGTCGGGACATAGATAAACAGGGAATTCGTCATTTACTGCCTTATAATACTACGATTTTACTACACGTAACTCATACAACTTGGAGCTCAAATATCGGAACAGTCATTCGCCCATCATCGTACGAAATCGTTTCTCCCCCCCCATAGGCCCCGCAATCCGTAGATACAGGCTAAAACGTACGACACGAGTCTCATTCTCTGGCCATCAATCCAAACCATGCGCGGCCTATAATTCAAAGCAAAAGGCAGCTACCTACGCGCCTTATGCTACTGAGGAGCATGTGCTCGGGGAGTAGGCATCAACACCGGCGAGATAACTTTGACCCGGTACCAGCTACACAGACACCTTTGACATAGTGCATGCTTCACGCACGATTCTCGCATGCGTCTATGCGGTCGATCTCCAATCTCCCTGTCGCATTTCGCAAGCACAACGCCACATTCAGCTATCGAGAGAGCAAACACAGCGACTGCACGCAGCGTTGCCTGTCTTTTGTCTGAATTATAGGCGCGCAATGGCTGGCGTTGGATTAATGGCCAGAGAATTGGAGATCGTGTCGTACGTTTTACGCTCGTATCTACGGATTGCGCGTGTCTACGAGAAACGATTTCGTAGGTGCATGGCGAATGATACGTGTCGATTTGAGCTCAAAGTTGGATGAGTCACGCGTAGTAAATCGTAGTATTATAAGGATAGTAAATGACGAATTTCCTTGTTTATTGCAGTCACACCTCCTCTTATTATCTCTCCGATATATATCGTTATTGATACCATTAATGTCATTAAGTTTGGGAAGATCTAATGGAGTATCGTCGCACGTGCCGAAGGGAGTTGCCATGCACCCGCGCACGTGCCGGACAAGGGGGGTTGCATCACCCGCGCACGTGCCGGACAAGGGGGTTGCATCACCCGCTACGGGCTCAACGCTCTTAGGAGTGTTTCCGCAACTTTGGATATCATTAATGGATGAATGACGATAATTAATGATTACAAATAATTGATTGTATGCACTACCTAACCTTAACCTAACCTACACCCTAACCATAAATGACATTTAAACACAAACAATATATGACACATGACATCAATATATATAAAACNTAGGGCGTTGCAATCACCCGCGTACGGTTGCTAACGCTCCATTAGGAGTGTTTCCCACTTTGATATCATTAATGATGAATGACGAATGATTACATGATTAATGATTGATAATCCTAACCTTAACCCTAACCTAAATTACAGATTAAACCACAAACTAATATATGACCATGACCATATATATATATATCAGGAGTAGGATAATAGGGAGGAGTTACGCTGACCATCATAAACAAGGGGAAATTCGTCATTTACAGCCTTATAATTACTTACGATTTACGACACGTAAACTCAGACAACTTGGAGCTCAAATCGGACACAGTGCATTCGCCCATCATCGTACGAAATCGTTTCCCTCGTTAACCCCGCATCGTAGATAC